GACTGACAAGTCAGAATCATGCGCAGCAAATTTTTAACCGCGAATATTTAACAATAATTTAATACAAGATGCGGATATATTGATGTATACAGGGTGCTACAAATTCGAGGTACGAGCATTGTTATCTCGGTAACCGTAATAGATACGAACATGGTTAAATTGGGACAAAGTTGCGCTTTAGGATGTTCACCAAGATGCCATCATAAAAGTTTTAAAAATTTCAAGGATTGTTGAGTTTTTTGAAAAAAACAGATTTTTTTGAAAATCAATTTTATTTTTTTCTGTCGTTACTTTTTAGAAAATTAAAAAACTAATTGCATATTCTCATAGCCACTTTATTAGAGCTATCTGATGGTGTTTTTAGATTTTCAAATTAGCTCATAATTTGTGAGATACAGAGGCCAACTTAATTTTTTTAAATACGGACCTGCATTTTTTATTTCAGGTTTTGAAGGAACTCGGCCTCCTGAGTACAATTATATGCCACACTTGATATTTTTTTTTTTGATTTGGGTACCTTAACAATAACAAAACTATTTAATTGTTATTTAAAATTATTTCAAATCCGGCTCTGGTTTTTTAATTTATTTAATCTGATTATATTCATCACAACAATATTGATCAGCGCTAATTAATATTGAATAAGGAAAATCAATAAAAATTGTTTTGGACATTTGAAATCAATACATTTCAACATTAAGAGTACAAAAACAATTAACATGTAATAAAAAACAATTAAAAAGTACAAAATGTATTCGAAAATATCAGAAGAAGATCTGTTCAAAGAGCTATAAATAAGATTGAACGAAAAACAAATGTGTGCATTACGGAGGGTGGTAACCCTTTCGAACATGCAGAGTATTAGAAACTAGTTTGCAGAAGTTGATTTATTTATAATCACTACGATTAATATTATGCATATTATTAGATCGTACACTGAGATTTCAAATTCACAATGAAAAAAGTTAAAAATAATATGTGATAATATCTTTAAATTGCTGACCTGGATATTAATTATTTGAATCTTTCAATTGGCGTGATTTTCCTTATTCAATGTTAATTAGCGCTGATCAATATTGTTGTGCTGAAGATAATTATATTAAATAAATTAAAAAACCAGAGTAGGACTTTTAAATAACCGTTAAATAGTTTTGTGATTGTTAAGGTGCCCAAAACAAAACAAAGTATCAAGTGTGGCATATCATTGTACTCAGGAGACCGAGTTCTTTCAAAACCCGAAATAAAAAATGCAGGTCCGTATTTAAAAAAATTAAGTTGGCTTCTCACAAAGTTGGCTATCTCACAAATTATCAGCTAATTTGAAAACCTAAAAATACCATCAGATAACCCTAATAAAGTGGCTATGAAAATGTGAAATTAATTTTTTGATTTTCTAAAAAGTAACGACAGGAAAAAATAAAATTGATTTTCAGAAAAATCCTTGAAATTTTTAACAAACAAATTTTTAAAACTTTTTTGATGGCATCTTAGTGAGCATACCAAGAAGCAACTTTGCCCCAATTTAACCATCTTCGTATCTCTTACGGTTTCCGAGATACCAATGCTCGTACCTCGAATTTATAGCACCCTGTATATGCTATTTGATAAGCATTATCGTTTTGTAGCCTTTACAGGGTGGTTAACATGTGCGAGAAGGAGCTATATCATGTTTCTGGTTCGAGTTTCACTGATTTCGTTGATGAGGACGTTGATAAGACTCCACAATCAATACCGAGTGGTTTTTGGAAAATGTTCATTTTTAAAATATAACTTCAATGTAAGCGTCATCACTAATATTTCTTTTTGAAACCTTAGCACATTAAAATATGCTACACTTTTTCATTCATATATACAGGGTAAGCCAAAATTAGATATTTAAAATATTAATTATGTATTTATGATTAAGGTATTTTCACTATTTTAAATAGAATGTTTCCTATTTTGTTTCATAAATCATGACAGTTTTTGTCCTATTTATTATCTTGTCAAATACTTTATTTACCCAAACAACGATATTTTTTTAAAAAATAATTCCAATTTAGTCCTACCTAATAGTAGAATTGCAAAATTTATATGTCTACCATTAGTTATTACGTTATGGATTTTGAATAGCTATATAATGATATTTTTATTTAAATTTTATTAATTTAATCAATAAATACCAATTATATTATGTTATTATAAAAACTGCTATAGTAATTCCGTTCACTTTTAATAGATAACATAAGCCGTTCCATTTAAAAATTTGAGAATAACAAAACATACTTTTGACTCACATTGTATACCAAGCAATATAGTGTACTTTAGTACGATCAATTTTGAAAAGCACACTATTATTTTGGTTTGCTTTAAATATACAGAAAATTTAGTCTAGAAATAAGTGAAAATCTGAAATATAATTAACCTGATATGGATTTTATCCAAAATTGTTGATTTTTAGCCCTGTATAATAATATTGAAACTGACATTGTATATTTAGTAATGAGCTCTACAATATATTTCACATATTGTATTAAATAACATTTAAAATGTGCGGATTTAGGTTTTTGCACTGCTGATACTTTTCTATTTCACTGTGTTAGCCAAGAATACGCAGTTCATATATTCAGTAAAACTATTTAGTCTTGACTATGAGAAGAGTAGACTAGAATATTTTATTCAATTTTTATTGCTGAATAGAATAAGTTTGGAATTAACCTTTTTTATCTTTAAAATAAATATTTTGTTGGTGGATATTTTGGAAAACTACTCACTGGTAGTTACTGACTAAAACAATTGTGTGGAAAGTATGGTTTAAGAAATTTGATGAGTTGTCATTGACATTACTGGAGCAACAGAGACGGTGCATCAACTCTCTGTCTCTTTGTTTCGTTCGGATTACAAAAATACTATATATAAGAAGTTCTTCAAAAATAATCTACGAAACTGAGATTGATTTCTTTAAGTTGACACTGTAGACTATAAGTAAATTACTACAGAACTATACTGGTCGCTATATCAATAGTCTGTTTAGTAATAATATAATTAGTATGGCTGAAAAATATTTTGAGGATATTGCTATTAAAACAAAAAAATTAAAAACCTATTAAAAAATATCTCTTTTACGAAAAAGAACTACTGAGTTCAGATTTCATGTAGGCAGTATTTCTCATTGTCTCTCAAAATTATATAAAATACTTACTCCTTTTTAGTTCTTTACATTAAACAGATATTTTAATTATTAAGTTTTGTTTCAATGCTGATATTTCCAAAGGATTGCAGTAATTATCCCTCCACAAAGGTATAGACATAACTAACATCGATATTGTATTATATCCCTCAGGAAATTTTAGACGGTGTATGTTTAAACAGCCCAGTAGCTATGGAATGTAGTTTTTAAACTGCAGAACCGTCTTTTAAAGAAAAGAATATTTAGATTTCTAGAAGTTCACCTGTTTGCCAAAAGGAAGTTCGTAAACGTGCACTTGTACCTTCAGAAATTAACATAAGTTCAGAAAAATTCTGAACTCTACTTGTTTTGAGAACGTACCCTTCTAGCAATTAAGTGAACAGAATGAAAGGGTAATTTTCGCTAATCTACAGATCGGATAGATGTTTTAGGTAGAGCAGTAGAGCAGTGTGTAAGAGCGAGACTGTAATGCGTACGACAGATGAAGCAGACCAGCTACTTGATTCCGTATAGAGTCTTGGCTAACGAACCTGTCGTCCAATGACATAGTGTTTTGTGGTTTGTAACATATCAATGATGCAACGTGTAAGTGTGATAGCCACTGCATTGATCGGAGCACCGAACCATCACATGTTTTTCTGAAAAAGAAAATACATTATAAACTTATGTTAATGACAACACAGAACATAGGCTTGAGGCATTTCAACCGATTTTTAATTTTCCGACAGTAGCGCTCAGTAGGGTAGAAATCGTAACTTTCCAACTAACCCTATTTCATAGTATGCCACGCCGTCCCGGTTATCGTTTATATTGATTGCATTGAAATAATATTGAAATCATGGCTATGTTATAATATTTAAGTATTTTGTCTACTGGTAAGTTCAGTTATTAAAACTGTACAATTCTCAGGTACAATTTCAGTTCATCCAGATTAAGAATCATCGTAAACTCTTAAGCAGCATTCAGAACCTCGCAATTAGTGGTTTCAATTAGAAGTTTGTTCCTTTAATTCCAAAGTAAGCATTCAGAACGTTAAAATTAGTGGTAGGAATTTTCAATTAGTAGAAAAAGTTAATAAACTTTTATCTTTTCCACTAATTATACTTCAAAATTTGCGACGAATATCATTTTGGCCTTTGATTATCATCCGTCAAGACAAAATTTGGTTAGACTTCAAAAGTTTATTGTTTTAAAAGTTTTTAAAGTTAAGCTAAATATAAGAAGGTGCTGAAAGCTGTTGCTAGGATATTCTATTAATTTTAATTATGTTTTTAGAGAAAACGAAGCTTTAATATAAAATATAATAATTGAAACGATTGAAACCACTAATTTGTTCTACTAATTTTGAGGTTCTGAATGAGGCTTAATATTCATACATTTCCCTGTTCTCAAGTGGGAGATTTTTTGTACCATTTTTAGAGCCATTTTTACCATTAAGAGTTCTATTCCTGGAACACTTCCTTACTTGACTATTTGCAGAGCCAAGCATGTACGTATTATTAATTTTCCACCAGTTTCTAGCACAAAATAATAATTAGTAATAACATTTTGGCCTTTGATCCGTCAATAGAAATTGTGGTTATAAATGAAAAGTTTGTTCTTTATAAGCTAATTATTAGGCTTTCTCTATGGATGCAACTCTCTAACTACACCGATCATTATAAATAACAAAGAAAATTTTATGTAACCAAGGATTCTTAGGATGATCACCCGATTATTGAAACCCTCGAGACATGAGATGATCTGATTATTCCCAATACTAATTAAAACCACTAATTTCGAGGTTATGAGGCTATAAAAACAAGTTTATAAATAATTAATGTAAGTTCACCTGCAGCTGGCGTAGAGCCTCGGCGCGACCTCGACCGCGCACTAGGCGACCTCACGCTGCGCAGCTCACGAGTGCGCGTTGGCCTGCGGCATGTGGTTGTGATCCTGCGACTGCGCGGGCTCCTCCGCCGCCGGGGAGGGAGGAGCGTCCTTGCGCGGCGGCATGCGCTCGTTGATGGCGTCCAGACCCTTCGCCTCCGCGAAGCTGGTGATTTTGTGGTTGGGCGAGAAGCCTTGGAGAGCTAGACGAGTCAAAATAAGCGATATTAGTTGTACATATTTGAAAGTAAAAACATTTGGCCTGCTCAGAAGGCAGCGTAAGGCGCATCATTGTAATAAAAATTACTTATCTATATTGTCATTGGCTTCTCATGAGTAAGAGGTTGAGTTAATCTATCAATAATTAACAGCTGTTTACATTTCTTAATGTGAATTGAAAGTTGAGTGCTTTAGCGAACAATGATTTTATCTTAGAAAGAATACATGACACTAATTAATTTATATAAGAAACAAATAAAGTGGTAGCATTTTAATTATTATAAATGGACACCCAGCAGATTATTACATTTTTCGAAACTACTTTCGTATCTCATCATTTTTCTATTATACTAACTTATACCAACCTCTAATAGTTTTAGAGATATAAATAAAAAATGTGTAAAATTGACAAAAACGTGATCTTCAATTGCTGTCCTCCTTTCACGCAGTTGAGCAGCTCTGAACTGTTCAAGAACGCGATACTCTCACTCCATTCAATTGAGTCATAAAGTTCCAGAACTATTCCGCGCCATATGGAGGCACCAGGCTATCGCGCACCGCTCCTTTCAGAACCGTTCTCGAGTAGCCCCAGGGCGTAAAGCCCGGAACTCGAAGTTCGCGAATGGAGGACAGCGATTATGCATTGGTTAAATCATAAATTCGGCATATTGACAGCTGAAATTTGGTTAATAGATTAGATAAGGAGAAAGTCGACATATCCAATCTATCTAAATCAGGCAATTGGATATCAAACCGGGGGACCAGAAAAAAATATTTATTTTTTGTTTCTTATAATATCGTGCAAATTATTGTCATTTTAAATTCAAGCCTATGTATATGTCGGAGCATTTATAATTTAGTGATTAAATGTTAGACGTGGCAACGTCTTTTATATTATCAGTATTAACTAAATAAAGTTTCTTGTCTGTATTTTTGAAAGAAAGGTGACGCAATCAAAATATCGATTGTAAACGTGGTCCCCAGTCGGCTCTAGTAATATTTATGCTTTATGATTAAGAGGAGAGAGAGAAAGGGAAAACCGGTTTGGTTGGGCAGGCGACACGATGAGTCGGTCGCTGTGGTCGGTTATCGCGCGGCGCCTGGTATGTTGTCTCATAATAAATATTTTTTTAAAGAAAAGAAGCCGACTTCGGAATGCGTTCCCACCTTTTATTGTTGGTTCGGGAAGATGTAGTTAAAAATCCGTATAATTATTAATTCTAAACATCCGTTTTCCGATATTAGAAGTGTGGGATAAAGACTTACAACCACAATAAGCTTTTGAGTAGCATGGTGAAACTTGGAGTGTGACTTGGAGGATGCATTTGAATAAGTACACAGTTTCTAATTAGGTTTACAAATCGAAAGTATTGGTTGTCTGTTTGTGGCTTTGGAAGAGTACGAAAAGTTAATAGTTCAGTAATAATAATAAAGTAAATTTTTAAAGAAATTGAGGGAGCATTGCCGCATTTAGATTGAGCATTGCAGCATTTATATTAAGCAGTTGGAACATTTAGCGGGTCTGGTAGACTTTAGGTACGTCAAAATTTTAAAATTTTCTATACAGAATTGAGAAGGGGAAAAAAGTGGAGATCGTCCATAAATAACACCAAATCAAAACCCCCCCAAAAAAATGTTGTAACCAATGCAATCAAAACTCACTTACGGCGGACGTTTTTACCATTGTGATCCTCTTCTCAACCTTTAGCACAGATCAAAATATAATATCTATTCTTATCAGCTTAATATCGCTACCGCTATTTTTCAAAATTAATATGAAAGTATAAATAAAACAAAATCCCGATTTTCAATATTTCATTGTTACCGCCAGCGATATACGCAGACGCGAGCAAAAGACAAATAAACCTAAATCTGCGTCTTCCTTCAAACATTAATTCTAGAACATATTAATATCAAATTCACATCAATAACTTCAAGATTGACGACGTACTTGAAGTGGACCATCACCCATTAGCAGTTTTAGAGCCCAAACAGATAGCCTGTATAATGTTACGGAGGGAAATATTACAATAGTTATTATTAAAACAAGTATTTTCTGCATTATTTAATACCGATTTAAGTTTACTTAAGTTTTCACAGTCTGAAATTTTCCAAATGAATTTTAATAATCTGTTTAATACATTGGTACCAGAATGGTGGTTTAAAATATCAGCCACACCGTTTCAATTTCAATTCTGAATAAGTTTTTCTAATTGCATAACAAATAGCAATACAGAAAAGTTTTTGCCAAGAAAAAAATAATGATCGGTATTTATTTACGCGAAGTGTAAACACTGTCGCTTGTGATAAGGCTGCTGTTGTTATTTACGTATTTCTTGCAGGTTAATAGCGCTTTCAGATGGAGCGGACCGTCCGCGACTTCGAGCAAGTACCATGAGTTTATATGAACAATTTCACATGGGCGCGTAGGCTCCTAGAATGGCCTAGAATGTCCGAAGTCTCCTAAAATATATCTCATCAGGTGATGGGAGCCTTACTAAAAGGTTCAAAAATAGGCGGCACTGCAAAATTTCAGTTTCAGTGTCGCTCCTAGCGGATTCTAGCGGTTTTTAATGTACGAATCGAGCGGATATGCAACTTCGAGTGTTGGCAACCCTGATGGGCAGACGACACGATGAGTCGGTGGGCGCGCGGCGTCGGCGTCTGGCACATGGTCTCATAAAAATATTTTTTTAGAGGAAAGAAGCCGACTTGGGAATGCCTTCTCACCTTTTTATTGTTGGTTTGGAGTGATGTAGTTGAAAATCCAAATAATTATTAATAATTCTAAACACCCTTTTTCCGATATATATTATTTAAAAAATCGAAACACAAATAAAAAAAATTCCTGAAAAATTGCTTTTCAACCATATCTTGTATGTGTTCCTATGCTTAAACCTTTTGGTTTCTTGAGTAAACTTAGTTAAAAGATACTATTTCTATTATAAGTGTTTCCTTTAAAGAAAATCATTATTATAACAAATATTCACACTTTATAAGTATCAATTAGACTTTACTTGCTTGTCAATTGTCATGGTAACGAAATTCTTGAAATGAAACTATAATAATAGAATTACTAATTTTTAAACAGCTCTACTTAAGAAACCGAAAGGTTTAGGTACAAGAACATGATATATCAGTGAAAAGCAATTTTATTAGTTTTTTTGTTTTCTAAATAATAAACATATGGTTGATTTTAAAATAACAAAAATGTGAGCAATTTTATAAAAAGTGGAAATAATGTTTTTGCTCTCCCTGTGCAATATCCAATCTGTTATTTTAGGTAGATCGAATATATCGACTTTCGTTAACTTATAACCCAAATTTCAACTTTAAAAATGTTCAATTCATGATTTTACCAATGCTTATTCACGATCATGTTTTTGTCAATTTTACACGTGTTCTATTTTTTATCTCAAAAACTATTAGAGATTGGTATAGGTTAGTATAATAAATAAATTATGAGACGTAATAATAAGTAGTTCCTTAGAGTTAGATGAAATAATAAGTAGTTCCGTTAGTTAGCTGAGATGTAATAAAAAGTCCAAAAAATGTAATAATATACCAGATGTCCGATTTAAAATAAAGATGCTACCAATTCTCAAATGATGTGGCAATATTGTAACGCTAAAAATATTTTAGATAGATGGAGCAATAGAGATGAAAAAATCCAAGTTTTCAAAAAAAAATCCGGTTCTCCATAAACGTCTAACGTACCATCGCCCTAAACATTAATTACTACAGTACATATTTATACAGGTTCAAAAAACATGTGCCAAATGAGGAGATTCCTTACCTGTGTTAAAGTTTTAATAATCTTTCGATTTATTATAATGTCTTCCATAGACTTTTAGTGATTCGAATGAAATTTTGAAGGTAAAAGTTACTATAAATGCGACATTTTAATGCTAAAAAAGTGTCAATATATTCACCAGTGACGTGCATATGGGTTATCACTGGAATATTTTTCTAAAAAAAGCATGTACGCCCCTGACTTTTTGCTCTTGTTAGTGAAATAGTGTAAGCAGTTTAATGCCGATTAAAAGTTGTCTCTTGATATTTTCTCGATTTCAGCCTCCTTGATAAGATGATCCAAGTCTAATCACCTTTAAAAAAATTTAATATCATTAACTTGCAAAAGTTTAAATAAGTACTGATTGATTCCTCATCCAAAAATATGAAAAAACGTCCCTATAAACATGGGTATGGAAATGCATAGTTTTAGAGTTACAGGATGTTAAAACTTTTTAAAATTAGGTTTTTTGTAATTATTTTAAATACCATTATTTTTTATTTTAAATTGCTGTAGGATGGACTAATAGTAATAATATTTAATAATAAATTAGGTAAAATATATAATTTATGAAATCTATTTTTACTTTAATTTTATTAATTGTGATTAATAAAATTGCGTTCATCTCATCAAGGAGGTCGAATTCGACAAAATATCAAGAGATAAATTTTAATTGGCATTAAACGGCCTACACAATTTTGATAGCAAAAGAAAAAAGTCAGTGGCGCACATGTTTTTTTTTTCGAAAAATATTCCAGTGATAACCCATATGCACGTCCCTGATGAATTTATATCCACCTTTTTAGCATTAAAATATGTAGCACTTATAATATATATGTAATATAACTTTTACCCTCAAAATTTCATTCGAAACGCTAAAAGTACTTCGAAGAAAATTATAATAAATCGAAAAAATATTATGACTTTAACACCCTGTAGCTACGAAACGAAGCACAATCGGACCTATGTTGATGTGAAAAAAAAAATATTTTTACGTGAGGAATCTTCCCACGAGAGATGGCACATGTTTTTTTGAAACACCCTCTATATTCATTGTGCCTAATAAAACAAATATTTTAGCTTACCGTTTTTGAGGCTGGTTTTTCCACCAGATAGAGCTCCCAATGGTAACGCCCCTGTCGGCGTAAGTCCTTTGAGTTGTAGAACAGATTCACTCTCCTCCCTAAAATACACAAGAACATAAGATAAAACATCAACTTAATAGAGCATATTTTTAAAATCTTATAGATATTAAGTGGCCTTTTCATTGATACACAGTGGTAATTAATAAAAATAATAAGTAATAGCAATAGGTATAGTAAGTAAAAAAAAATTCTTAATATTTAAGTCAGCTGTCACGCTCAGCTAAAATGATCCAGGCAGAAAAATAATTGCGTACATAGTAATGGTGTTTTGGTTGGTTCATAATATACAGGGTATCCCAATGACATAGAACTACGACGTGTTTTTTGAATCAAAATAAGTGAATTGCACACAGTTGACCTCTATACAAAAGTGCTTCGTTTGTTGAGGGCATCAATCACAGATAGACTTGAACGTTAATTAATTTAAAATTTATGAAGCTTATTGTCAAATATCATTTGTGATACTAACACAAAATATCATATTTTCGCTAATTAGAATATTAGCGCATACTACATTTTATTCGCCTATACCGGGTGCGTCTCAAAAGCGGCTTACCGATAGAAAATGATATTCTGAATAGAATGACGTATCCTATGTCAACTTTTGACATTCTCGCTTAAGAAAAAATCGTATTTTAAATCTCAGTCTAGAGTGCCATGGCTATGTTAAAAACACTAATTCTTAATCAAGGAGCCGTGGAAAAATAGATTTGATCGTCTAAAGTTTTTAGTGTCTTGTCCTGGCCGGTTAAAAAATGCCTAAATCGTATTTTTAATCATATTTAATTTTTTTCAAATGGGACGAGGGTGGCTCATTAGCATATTTGGAAAAGGCATTTTTTTATGAATAATTTGATACCACACACTTGGTATTTCGAGTCAAATTTTCGTTACGAACCGCAAGATATAATTTCAAATAAACTATATGCGAAAATGTCAAAAGTTGACATATGATATGTCATTCTATTAAGAGTTTTATTTTCTATCAAATAAAGTAAAAAATACCGAGGGTGCCATTTAAAAATCAAAAGTTGTAATAATTTCTGGTGAAACAGGAAATGACCGAAAACAATTGAATACGTCAATTAATCCCAATTTATGTCATATACTAACATACCAAATCTCGTTTTTTTATCTGAAAATATAAAAAAGTTATAGGGGTGAGCCACTTTTGAGACGCACCCGGTATATGTAGCTTTAGTGACAAGAAACATTTTTTGTAAGTCAACTTTGGTAAGGCCTTTTGTAAGTCCTTGTAGTGTTTACTACATTTTTTGTCACTTATAAAAAACACCGCATACTTTTTGCGAGAACAAATCTAGTTGGCGAAAATATGGAATTTTTTGTTAGTACCACATATGATATTTGACAATAAGCTTCATAAATTTTAATGACTTCTAACGGACAGAGGAAGCACTTTTGTATAGAGTCAAATTGTGAACAATTAACTTATTTTCAAAAATACGTAGTTGTTCTATGTCCATGGACATATTTTGTAGGTCTGCTTTAGAAAAAAAAATATCTACAATGTTTTTTCCTCATAAAATATAGTAAACAGACAAAAATGTAGTAAACACTAGGATGATCTAATAATCAGTCGTCAGTGAAGTTGGAAAACATTTCTACTAAAATTTATGTAGGGGTGAGGGTGGAAAAACTACCCTTCGCGTACTTTTTCTTGCTTTTTGTCAAAGTCATATTATGTTACAGCGCTTAGCAAAACATAGGCACCCCAAATCTTGTTCAAAAATTGTTTATTTTTATAAAGTTTGATGTCCTCTAACGGACAAACGGTCTTAGGTCCAATATACGTATTTTAGTTCCCAAAATACGTAGTTCTATGTCTATGGAATATTTTAACACCCTGTATAGACTAAAAAAAAAATGCAAAAAAATGTGTTTAGAAATTTGACAGGGAAAATTATGAAGAATACAAATGCGATCTAGAAATGTGCGTGGGAAATCCTCTCGGGACCAGACGTGATATTAAATATGAAAATACTCTCCCTATTCTGTCAAAACGTCTTTAAGGAGAATGTAAGCTATATGCTTTAGGGTTTTGAAAATGTTAAGAGAAATTTTTCTCATAAATTTATATTTTATGTTAGTTATAAGAATATACAGTCCGGGTTATACGTAGTTAAAATTCCTTGGCGTACTATGTGAATTAGTGAACTAAATACTAATGATGATGAACTAAATACAGCTAGCAACAAAGTAGGTCTCAAAATGAATTTAGCAAAAACTAAAGTCATGTTCAACGAACTAGTGGAAAGAAAAGACATTCTCATAAATAACAAAACGCTGGAAACAGTAGAAGAATATATATATTTGGTACAACTAATACACAGCTCGGGATCTCTACTATCAGAAATCAACAGAAGAATTAAGTTATCCTGGAGTACTTATGGAAGAAACTCAATCATATTCAAATCTAGAATGTCACTCGATTTAAAGAAGAAAACATTCGAATGTGTACTACCAGTCATAACCTATGCATGCGAAACCTGGACCCTTAAAACGGACATCATAAGGAAACAGTTGTGCAGTTCGCACAACGTTCAATGGAACGAAATATGCCGGGAATAACCAAGGAAGACTGTAAAATAATAGAGTGAGTATGACAAAAGACCCAGGTAATAGATGTCATTCACAGAGTCAAATCCCTCAAATAGCAATGGGCAGGATACCTGCCAAGAAGAACGGACAGATGGACCGCAAAAATTACAGCATGGTACCTACGAGGATTTAAGAGACCTAGAAGAAGCCCAAACCTGAGATAGGACCATGATATTAGGAAACTGCAGGGATAACTTGGGCCCGCATAGCCAACAATGGGCTCAACTACAAAGAGAGTATCTAAATATGCGAGGGAGGCTATACCATCATTGTCGCACCAATAACTCGGTTATAATTATTATGATTCTTTTATTGAGCCCTAAAAATAATTGCACTTATGTAAGACTCACCCTGTATATTTCGAAACCGAAAAATTATGCTATTTATACTTTTATCTATTCGATAACAGTTTTTAATTATTTTAAATGCAACTTATATAAAAATCAATATGTTCAATAAGTTAAATCATAATTCATTAGGTTATGAAACACCTTTTTCTATTTATAGAAAAATTATGTTTTAGAACAGAATATAATATAAATATCATATTTAAGGTTATAAGTAATAAAAAACTCGAAAAGAGTAATACAAAACTCAATACTCAATACTCAATAACCACAAATAAATAGAAATATGAGAAGCAATACAATCTTTACAATATTATGATCTACCGTCAAAACCTAAACAAGTATTTTCTCTTTTATTTACTATGCTGATATTAACTTTTAAATTAAGAGAAATGCTATACTTAGGCATTCCATATTCATTTATATTTATTTCCTTCTCTACTACAGCATTTCCACATAAAGGATTTCTTTTAGAAAGCAGTGTAGTTTGATGGTTAATAAATATAAATAAAAATAAGAAACTTGTTGTCTTTGAAGCTAACGCTTTCTTAAATTCATTTTCATTTCTTAATTTTGACTCATAAGAATATTTTTAAATAAAAATTTTATATATTAGGTACTATAATGTTTTTTCTATGAGTTTCTATATTTTCTATAAATGTTATGAATTATACAGCAGAGTCAGTCAGAATTAGAACTACAAGGGATGATTTTGACAGAAGCTATTCAGATATTGACAGAAAAGATAATTTATTTGACAGACTATATACGAATACGTAAACATTTTATGAGAATTATAATCACAAAGCGTGCAAAATGAAATTTTTATTTTTTTATTTAAGTCGTATAAATAATTTTATTTTTTCAATCATACGGTATTATGAAGTAATAATCTAGTTGGCAAAAATATAGAATTTTCCAAGTATAATCAAAAATGATATTTGACAATAAGCTTCATAAGTTTTAAATTAATTAATGTTCAAGTCTATTTTTGATTGATGCCCTCAACAACTGAAGCACTGTTGCATAGAGGTCAACTGTGTGCAATTAACTTATTTTGATTCAAGAAATACGTAGTTATTCTATGTCCACGAAATATTGGAACTCGAACGAATATATTTTAGATCGGCTTTAAAAAAAGTTCTCCAATTTTTTCTTTCTTAAAAACTATGTGATGTGTTTTTTTATAAGAGACAAAAATGTAGTAAATATGACCACTTTACGAAAAAAAAATCAGTGGTCGGTGGAGATGGAAAATATTTCTACTAAAATTTATGTAGGTATGGGGGTAGTTGTGGGGTAGGACAAGTCATGGTATACCGTGAATCACATTCTGTGTAAACAAAGCAGAAAAAAGGTGTTAATTTAAGAAACTAACTCATTTTTAAAATGTAATGTGTATCTCATATTAAATGGACTAAAAGTCGATCAAAATTCATTTACGCTTAATTTAAATAATTCCGGTTGATTGACTAGAGGTCGTCCATAAAAATTTAGCGCTCCGATTGGCCAGTAACCCATAAATCTCATTTTAACAGGATCGAACTCGGCTTACAATCGGTTGTTTCGTTATTTAAGCACATTTTACGTCTAATTGGAAACGGTTTTCCGCTATAACTACCGACAATTTTAATACCCATTTCGGTTCGATTGGAATGTTTTAACATTTTATTCTTTATTAATTTTATAAATTATGCCCAATATGTTACAATGGTTCTCATTTTTAACATGCTTTTATTCATTTTAACCTGTATTTATGTAACCGAGGGGCTTGGTGCATTTCAGTTGATTTCAAAAAATTCATGTATTTATATATTCTGTATACGGCAGAAATCAGAAATTTTCGCTATCTAGGTATTTTACGCCGGCGCCGGCGCCGTTCCGATTGCAGTTCATGTTGATCGTATTAAAATAATATTGAAATCGTGGCTTTGTCATAATATTTAAGTATTTTAGTTTTTTGCTAGTGCTGTTATTCAGACTATAAAACACTCAGGTACGAGGTTTGTGCGATGTAACGCTGTTTCGGGCAGTAAAAAATAAGTGAAAAAGAATTCGAACTAGGCGTCGCGTCGTGTTGTGTTGTGACAACTTCAAATGTTAATAAAACCACCGAAAAAATGTTAACGCGCCAAGGAGAGCGTAATTAGGGCGTTGTTGGGTGCAATAACATTCAATAACTCAACTTTCCCGGATATTCAACTCTCCCGAAACAACATTATTTTATAGCTTCATGGTTTCTCACACCGATTTGATCAAAAGCAAAAATGGATTCAAGCAGTTCCACGCAACAAGTGAGTAAACAATGTGCTCGTTACATAATCAAAAAATTAAATAGTCATATACTATGAGAAGATAACCCAACCTAAATTATCTTAAAAATCTTAAATACAGGGTGATTCCTGTAAGTCGGCCATGCTTTCGAGGAATGATAGGGGACGTCAAAATATTAATTTTGATATAACACACTATGGGTCGGAAATGCCTCTTACGCAACATACAGGGTGTTAAAGTTTTTGAAAAATTAAAGATATTCTTTAATAGTTTTTGAACAGTTGAAGGTATTGTTATAAAATTTTATTATAGGAGTCTGCCTAACAGAGACACTTTAAATGTAAAAAGAGCAGGTTTTAGTTTCAACCAGTGGCGTAGCTGTGATACGTATATCGTGTAATATTTTCAAAAAAAGTAGTACGCCACTGATAAAAATAAAAATTTGGGAACTTTTTTATTTACTCGGTTTATTTCCAAGAAAAAATGTCTCTTGCAACTTTCTTCTAACTAACACCATTTTGCCACAATTTAAAAATAAATATTTTTTTAATGAGAACCTTAAATTTGCGAATTATTATAACTACCTTAAAACTACGAATTTTATTATTAACAATAAAGAAAAATTCTAGTTTAAATTTATAATTTTTTAAAATTTTATTTAGAGCTAATAGTAAAAAGTACTTACCCAAGATGAAGGGAGCTAACGATGCACATGTGTTTCTGCCCTCTAGTTATAATAATTCGCTGTATTTAAGATTCTCATTAAAAAATTTATTTATTTTTAAATTGTGATAAAATGGTGTTAGATAGGAGAAAGTTGCAAGAAACATTTTTTCTTGGAAATAAACCGAGTAAATAAAAAAACTCCGAAATTTTTATTTTTATCAGTGGCGTACTATTTTTTTTTGAAAAAATTACCCGGTGCGTATCACATGCCACTGGCTGAAACTAAAACCTCCTCTTTTTACATTTAAAGTGTCTCTGTTTGGTAGATTCCTAAAATGAAATTTTATAACGATATCTTCGACTGTTAAAAAACTATTAAAGAATATCTTTAATTTTTCAACAATTTTAACACCCTGTATCTTGCGTAAGAGGCATTTCTGACCCATAGTGTGCTATATCAAAATTAATATTTTGACGTCTCCTATCATTCCTCGAAAGCATGACCGACTTACAGGAATCACCCTGTATATCTATACTTGACATTAGGATGCACATTTTTTTTAATTACGGTGAAAATATCGTTTACGATCACGAAAAAAAAATCTGGTTTGAGCTCTTAAACGGGCCACACGTTATACAATTTATCGTACTGCAGGTTGTACAACACAAATTTGATGCGACCGTTTGAACGACAGATCGGATGCACTGTTGTCCACAAACTTAAACTACTAGTTTAATGTCTGTCGTACAATAAATCGCTTCCCAGTTGATTTTGTCTTGTTCGCCATGGCTTTGTGTTAGTCAAAAAGGACAATAGCTGCAATTGTGGTAGTTTTTTAGTCGAAGATGAAAAACCCTCCCAAAAATTGTAATTAAATATTCCAAAGTAGCATCTGCCTTTATTTATTTTAATTTTTCCAATAGATTCTCATAACATGCACTTCTTTAATTTTTGTTTAAGTATTCGTAATTTTTTACATTCCACACACCCATGCATGGGAACGATATATTTTTATAAATTCTGACCAAAACTTTTTATTTTCAATTTTTATGAACTGTACTGTACTTAATTTGCCACGAAAAATGTTTAGATTTCGTTTTAACAAGAAGTGCTTGCACACAAACTATCAAACCTATCGTATCTACTACTACGTTGTACTACAGATTTGATGCATGCTGTAATATAATACTTCTGTACGATACGACAGAGTCGAGCTGCAAGTTGTACTACAATGCCACTAAAACGGCCCACACATTATACGATTTATCGTACTGCAGGTTGTACAACACAAATTTGATTCGACCATTTGAACGACATATCGGACGCGCTGTTGTCCACAAACTTAAACTACAACGGGCCACACATTAATACGATTCGTCGTACTACATGTCGTACGACAAGTTGATACAACCGCTGAAACGACAGATCGGATCCGCGTTTATTCACTAACTAAAACTACCATTTGATGTTAATCACCAACAAGTAGTAGTTTTATTTTCCACTCATTTTGAATTCTATTGTAGCATCTGCTTTTATTTCTTTTAATTTTTCCAGTAGGATATCATAACTGGCATTTCTTTTTTGTTTATTTAGGTATTCCTTACTTTTCACATCCCACAAACAAGGTTGATTATGATAAATTTCTATAAATTCCGCCCAAAACTTCTCGTTGGTATCCATTTTTAAGAGATTGTTTAACCATGTGCAACGAAAAATGTAAACGATCTGTCTGCGACACATAGGGTTTGCACACAAATCATCAAATCTATCGTATATACTACTGCGTTGTACTACAGATTTTCTGCATGCCATATTTCCGTACAATACGACTTTGTCTTACTACAAGTAGTACTACAAAGCCACTAACTATCCAACCATTGATCCAACGGTCGAAACGATTTGATGTTGTACAACTTGTAGTACGATAAATCGTATAATCTGTGGCCCGTTTAACTATCCAACCATTGATCCAACGGTCGAAACGATTTGGTGTTGTACACCTTGTAGTACGATAAATCGTATAATGTGTGGCCAGTTTTAATATTAATGTTAAGAAGTGTCTCATCGTGATTTTCTATTTCCCATTTAAATTAAACGGGAAAACAACTTATTATTGAAGTTGAACTTCAGTGAAATACAAACGAACCCAAGACTGCTCTACTGATGAAAAGATACTGTGTACGCAAGGGACAATAATATGGCTTCGTAGAGATAATTTTTTTAATTAACTAAATCTAATACACCTTCAATAACTCTCAAACGAGTCGATTAAATGAAAAACCATATCAGACCTTTTCTGAAGATCGTTCAATTTCCTATAAGAAACTGTATTGATGTTTACAACACGCTGATTTGTTAGAAGGCAATAAAATTAAAAAAATCCCCATGTTATTTAAATGGGAAATAGAAAATCACGATGAGACACCTCTGAATATTAATTTTAAGAGCTCAAACTTTACCAGCATATTTTTTCATATGCATTTGTATTCTTCATAACAAAATTTTCACGGTAACTAAAAAGAAGAGATATTTTTTTGGTGTAGAAATTGTTTATAAAAAATTAAATAATACAAATATGACGTACCTTAATACAGAGAATACACGAGCCATTTTTCCAATTGCTCGGATTTTATTGCGAATAACCTCCTTCCTTAAGTTAGCTGCTGCACCTAAAACATTTATCAAAACTTATTAATAAACAATCGAAGTAAATGTTACGTTTTGGTCTATGCTCAGCCCAGCAGCTCAAAGAAATTCAGAAAATAAGCTAGGTATTTGATTTACAGGAAATAGAAATACTGGCTTTCGGTTGGCTAGTTCATGGAAACGGTTGAATAAACAATACAAATTTGATCTAAAGATTTTTCGAATTTGTGTATTTTATTTTTAAAGAATTTCCGCATTATTACCCGCCCCCCCTTAATAGTCCGGTCGCGAAAATAAACACCGTGAGTTTTTTTAGTGAACCTTTTTTATTTTAAATAATTTTTCAGGTGTTAACGTGTGAAATTAAGCATAGAAGTCACTTCGAAAATTTTGCCATTTGGTCGCTACATTAAATTATACCAACAAAAAATGAGGGTGTAAATAAAAATAAGATGTTTCCTCTCGGAAACGGTAAGTAGCTAAACGACCAGTGATGCCTCTACGGATAGAGCTAGTGGAACTCTATATTCGTCCCATTTAAACTGTGTTTCGAAAATGCATAGGTTCCGAGATATTTAATTTAAAAGATATCGATTGTCGATTTTCAAATCATCAAAATTAGCAACTAGATCAAAATAGACTATAACATTTCTTTGTCAAAGATTTTATTTAAAATATATTTTATGAAGAACTTGACAGTGTAATATGTGCTGATTTTATTATAGTAAAATATTGTATATTACCAGTGTCAATTTTTTCTTAAAACATCTTTTATAAAAAAAAATTGACAAAGAAATTTTATAGTGTAATAGCGGCCTAAGTGTCCGTGTTTCGTGACGGTCAGTGTGTTAATTTAATATTTTATCGCTGTCATGATTAAAGTTCTAAATGACAAATTATTATTTATGAAAGACCACCGTAAAATCTGGTTCTGTAGATAGTAAATGCACGATCAAAGAAAAAATATCGGATTTATTGGTTTATTGAATTCTCATTAAAATGTTTTATCATAAAAGCGATTCGACATGTTAACTTTTAAAAGCCGTAGCATATAGAGGCCTTATTCTAAACATTTTCGACTTCGACAAAGGTCAGTGTATGTTTTTTATAAGACATCCGTTATCATAATAACACTTATCGATATGTAAAATTTAATTCTCGATATTACTGATCATATTAAAATATTAAAAAGAGTATCCAAAAGAAATTCAATAGTCATCCAATAGTTTTATTGTTAAAATACTTAAACACATTAGCTGTAGACTCCGAACAAATATACACATATAAAGTCAGCTCTCTTTTTATAGAACTTCCCTTTCGATATATGGCAATCTAAAGACGGATCAATTTTTTACAGCGTTTGATATTTTTATATAGCAACCGACATTGACAAAAATATTGCAGTACCAGCTAGATATGGCGGCAAAGATTTTAGTTTACAATTCTTTTAAGCAAGCTGAATAAGAGAAGGAAAATAGAAAATTTTGTACATGCTATATTAGCGACACTAGCGGACTGATATTCGATTCTAGTAAAACGTCTGTCAAATATTCTACACTTTAAGTTTTATAAAATTTTATTTTCTCAAATATATTGTTTTTATTGATGAAATTGGGGACAACTAAAAAACGTCAGAAATATGTATCTTTTCTCTATTTAGAAATTCAAATCTAATGTCGTTTATCATTACAAAATATTATTTCAGTATTATAATAAAACTACAGTCTGTCCAGCGAAAGTAGAGATAGATTTTGACTGTTAAATTATAGACCAATAACTGTTAAGGTAAATAGTCTTTTGTATATTATTAATAAGATAAAATTAATATTCGGAAATGCTTATCAGTATAAATATTCATATTATTTAACCGTTTAGTGATATACACGAGTAGTGTATGGTTTAAATTAAATATTATTTTAAATAAATTGAAAAGCAATAATTATAAATTAAATTTATATGCAGTTCAAATTAAACAATTTAATTGTTCGTATCTACATTCATGTAGCTCTACCATCTATTTTATTTATTAATTAATAGAATATGTATAAATGACACTTTATTATATTCGATATAAAAAAATATTGGGTTATTCATATCTACTGATATAGAAAATACTATAGGACTTTTCATCATGATATTTGATATCGTATGTGGTAACAATGAGATTGTAAACACAAGTATGTATTATGTGGTGAATATCGCAATGGGAATGCAAAATATTTTGATATTTCTCGCCTAAATTAAATTAATTAAATTTTCTGTCATTCCACTAATTTATTACTAAAAATATTTTATATAAATTTTTGTTTTTACTACTACAATATTAGTATTATTTTAAAATAATACCATTGTTCCAATAATAATTTTTAATAAATCCATTTTTTGACATATAAACCAGTAGAAAATTATAAGCAATTACAAAAGGTATTACAATAAAAATTAGTTTTTTAATTGTCATATTTTCATTAATACAAAACTTTGATGTATGAAACGTTGATCATGTCTAAACATATTATGCATATTTGTTACATATGGATTTATAAATTGTTTTGGAAAATATTTGACAGAATGCGTTTTAGACTATTAAATCCACAAAATAACTTACCAAAATTGACGGATGCCATCAACAACGCCATTTTGAGTGAAGGACAGCAAATGGCCAGCCACGCAAAGTGAGGCGAGCGTAGAAGTATAGAAAAAAACAAAACAAATGGTGCATATAGAAAAACTGTAGCGTTAGAAACTTTCAAAATTAAGTCGTTATACAAACATTGCTAAAACAGAACAAATTTTACCATAAGTCAGTGTTACATTATAAAAATCGTATTTTATTAATAAACTCTTCATTCCGCTTATGCTAAAATTGTCCTTCTATAAAAATAAACACAATAAAAACAAACAAAAACTAATATTTGATCTTTAATTAAGACAATTAGTTAATAAAACTCAGCCAAAATGGTTTTTAATTTCAAAGCATACCACAAAAACAAAAGCGAAAATGCTGTATAACAAACACAAAAAATAGCTATAATTAAAATATAAAAAACAAAATTAACGGGTAAAATTTATGTGGGTACTATAGCAACCTCGACAGTGAATATTAAAAATAATTTGAAAAATGGGGAAGTTTTTTTAAATATTTTATTGTTATTAACAATTATTATTTTAAATATCTTATGAATAAACTCTTAACGCCTGAACGCCTAAATCTTAGTTTAGAAGACTTCACGTGCAAAGGTCGTAGTACGCGACATACTCAAAAAGAAAAATACCCAAAAAACATACCAAAAAACAAAAATCATGAAATATGCTCTAAATTTATTCAGTAATCTATGAGTTGCTCTTACAGGGAGTAGTAATAATGCCAAATATATATGTAACATCAGTTGTAATAATTAAAAAAATTAAATACGATGCATCATGCTCTCTACCAAAAATCTAAACAGAAAAAATCCAAGAGTAAGGACAAAACCAAACTACTTAATGGAATGTGGAATTTAGTATAATAGAAATGTAGGATCGTGAAAAAATAGAGTAAAAGGATACTTATTAGATGCGATTCAGTTTTGATGGATATAATATCGAAAAACTTGTTAATCGCGTAGCGGTATACTCTTGTCAAATATCTCAGCACTATCAGTTTACTAAAAATTTTACTAATCATAGAAAACTTTTAAATTGAAAATAAACAATAAAATATAACCTATTGTAAAAAATGCTAGTAATACATTAAAAAAATAGTGAAACATAAAGCGTAAAAAGATTTATTTAAATAAATTTTATACAGTTTATTTACCAAATATACAGCAAACTATCAAGAATTTCAAATACTGATTTCCATAATATGTACACAGGGTGATTTTTAACCTATACGCATAAAGTTGGGAAATTATTGCTGATGACAAATAATGACTAATAATGAAAAAAAAAGTTAGTAAAATATTTTATTTACGGAGATAACAAACTATTTGAAATAAAAACAAAAAACGTAAATTCTCTTAAATTGAATGTGCATTACTGATAAAGCTGATAAATTTTTGTGAAAATAAAATTCAAATTATTTCAGAATCTAAAAATATTTTACTAACATTTTTTTAGTCAATATTTGTCATCAGCAATAATTTCCCAAGTTTATGCGTATAGGTTAAAAATCACCCTGTATTATGATATATACAGGGTGTTTCAAAAAATATGTGCCATCTCTCGTGGGGAGATTCTTCACGTAAAAATAAGATTTATTTTTCATATCAACATAGGTCCGATTCTGCTTTGTTTCGTAGCTACAGGGTGTTAAAGTCTTAATGTTTTTTCGATTTATTATAATTTTCTTCCAAGCACTTTTAACGTTTCGAATGAAATTCTGAGGGTAAAAGTTACTATCAATGGGTCATATTTTAAAGCTAAAAAGTGTTAGTTTGAATAGTTTTAAAGTTACAGGATGTTAAAACTTTTTAAAATTAGGTTTTTTGTAATTATCTTAAATTCCATTACTTTTTATTTCTAATTGCTGTAGGTTGGATTAATATTAATAAAATAACTAATAGTAATAATATTTAATAATAAATTAGGTAAAATATGTAATTTGTTAATTTTATTTTTATTTTAATTATATTATTTGCGATTAATAAAATTGCGTTTATCTCATCAATGAGGCCTAATTCGACAAAATATCAAGAGATAACTTTTAATCGGCATTAACCCTTAACTGGTCCGGCGTCATCTGACAGACTACGCCAAATAATTAACTCATTCTCATTAGTTACTAGGACCGTCTACAGGATTGGCATTCCAGCTAATCCTCCCCCGCTCGGTCAACGACTGATAGCCATATTTATGCCCAAACTGGATTAGCTTTTTAGAAGTTCTGGCAGAAGTTACTTAAGCCGTAGTTTCTCAGACGACGCCGGACCGTTTGTGTAAGATTTTGTGTGTGACAAACTTTTGTAAAATATGGCCGGGCCTTCAAAAAGAGTGCGTTTAGGAGACTCTAGTTATGAAGAAACTCTATTAAAATGATATAATGAGGACTGTGACAGTAACAATATGACAATCTGCCAGACAAATGCGTTTGACGATGTCAAATATTCCACGAGAAATATACTTTACAATTGGTAGAATACTTGCAATTCCTGTACAACCAGAACACGCACACGGAGATGTTTATCTTATCCTAGAGTTCTTATCCTAGTTAAAGACAATGTTATGTCCTAGTTAATTATTTTTAATGCTTAGAATGTACGAATCCATTTTGTAAAACATGTTCAGAAAAACAATGAATTTTGCCTCATGCTGTAATCAAAAACTTTTTCTTTAACTCCAGTTTTATAACATATTTTTTTTATATATAGTATTAAAAACTTATTTCTATTTTTTTAAACTTTTTCTATTATATTGTAATGGTTGTTAGTAATTTGGTTTTATTTTTTAGAGCTTAGTGAAAACCTAATTGTTTTTTTTTTCAAAAATTTATATGTATGTTACTTTATTTTGTACTATATTTTCTTAAAGTTTATATTAATTGACCCCATTCGTGTTTAGATTAGTTCAATAATACATAATATAATATATAATGAAATAAAAATTAGTTATTTTTTAGTTTTTGTGTGTTTTTTAAACTTTCTACAGACTACGCCGGACCGTTTATGATACATATCTATTACCGGACCAGTTAAGGGTTAAACGGCCTACACAATTTTGATATCAAAAGAAAAAAGTCAGTGGCGCACATGTTTTTTTTGTCAAAAAATTTCCAGTGATAACCCATATGCACGTCCTTGATCGACACTTTTTTACCATTAAAATATGTAGCACTCATAGTAACTTTTACCCTCAATTTTTTTTTGAATCACTAAAAGTACTTGGAAGAAAATTATAATAAATCACCCTGTAGCTACGAAACAAAGCAGAATCGGACCTATGTTGATATGAAAAATAAATCTTATTTTTACGTGAGGAATCTCCCCACGAGAGATGACACATGTTTTTTGAAACACCCTGTATATTATGATATCAAGAGATTTAATACAAGAATCATCTCTTAATGAGTTGATAATTATATGCAAATGAAATTGTGAACTTTCAACTTGCTTATGGTAATTTTTAAGACTTTTTCTAGAGCTAGATTAAGACTGAGATTAACTTTTTTTAACTTGTTTTGAGATATATAGGAATGTAAAGGTTTGCCTGGAAATGAACGTCGCTGTCATTTTGTATGTAAAAATATGGGAAACGTCATCGATTGAAATGTTTAAGCGAACTTGACGCCGCTTTTTTCGATCGCTATAGTATATTTTATGAAAGTTGACTATTATTACTACAGATGTATTATTATAAGACACAAATAAAAATATTTTATATTTAAATATCAGATTTTATAGATTCAGTTCGCTTTTTGTTATTTTTTACTCTAAATTATTTTATGAATTCTTTTCAAATTATAATAAAAATAAGCTTTTATAGATAAATACATTATAAATGTTTTACTTAGAGGGCTTATAAGGCCAATAAAATAGGTTTGCGCTGTTTAACTTCTGGTTGATATAATGTTCTTAAATTATTCATTTAGATTTGAATGAAGAATGTTGTTGCATATTGTTATCTTTCCAATAAGATAGCTAGCCATTTAATTGCAAAACGCCTAGTAATGGTACCATACAATCGCAAAAAAAAACGACGTCAAAGACGGCTTGGGAATGACAATCAATGACAATTTTGGCAAATTCAAACTGTAGACGTCAATTACTTAGCCCGTAATCTTCTTTATTTTTTAATGGCACCTACTGACAGTAATTAAGAAGGTTTTAATTTATTATATTTTTAGCGTATAAATTGAAGGGTCCAGGGGAAAAACATGATAAGCGCCATTTTACTAATTTTACAGGAGAGCACCGGACGGCTGGTGTTTATCAGGTTCTTTCTGTGTATTCTATATTTTTACTAGGCATATATCATAGGATTTAACAACTTATTGCCCTGCAGAGTTTACACATTTTATAGGGACCTACTATAATAATATGCAAAATCCTAAAATTAAAAAATTTGCGCTTATCAAGTTATTCCCCTGGACCCTTCAATTATTATAATGTAAAAAGGTCTTCCTGTATGAAATGTGTTTACCCTTAGTTAACCGACCGTGGCCATGAACATTTTTTGCATAGCATAAGGTCTCTTTAACATTGTTGGAATTATTTAAAACATATCAAAGGCAAGAATATTTTAAATTAAATTTTTGCTATATATTTGGTAAACAACTTGTAATATGGAAGATATACCGGGTGCGTCTCAAAAGTGGCTCACCCCTATAACTTTTTTATTTTTTCAGTTAAAAAAAAGAGAAATGGTATGTTAGTATATGACATAAATTAGGATTGATTGACGTATTCCATTGTTTTCGTAATTACCTGTTTCACCGGAAATGACTATCAACAACTTTTGATTTTTAAATGGCACCCTCGGTATTTTTTTACTTTATTCTATAGAAAATAACACTCTGAATAGAATAACATATCATTTGTCAACTTTTGACATTTTCGCATATGGTTTATTTGAAATTATAACTGGCGGTTTGGTAAACGGTAAAAGGTTGACGAAAATTTGACTCGAAATACGAAGTGTGTGGTATCAAATTATTCGCAATTTTTTTTTTCAAAATATGCTTATGAGCCACCCTCGTTCCATTTGAAAAAATTGAGATATTAAAAATACAATTTGGGCATTTTTAACCGGCCAGGACAAGACACTAAAAACATTATACGATCAATTCAATTTTTCCAAGGCTCCTTGATTAAAAATTAGTGTTTTTAACATAGCCATGGCACTCTAGATTGAAATTTAAAATACGATTATTTATTAAGCAAGAATGTCAGAAGTTAACATATGATATGTCATTCTATTCAGAATATCATTTTCTGTCGAATAAAGTAAAAAAATACCGAGGCTGCTATTTAAAAATCAAAAGTTGTAGTCATATCCGGTGAAACAGGAAGTGACCATAAACAATTGAATACGACAATCAATCCTAATTAATTATTTTTTTTTTCACCAATTAGATTTTGTTCTCATTAGAGACCTGTAAAGTTAGGTAACAATTGATTAGTTTTTGCTTGTTTAAAAATCAAAAATCAACCACAATATCAATGAATTTATTTTAATTTACCTGTCATATTTGAGATTTCTCTTTGCATATGTCGAAAAGGGAATTAATTAAATTTTTGAATATTGTCGTTTGAAAAGTTGTTTAGTTTCACATTTTTATCTACTACCTAAAATTTGTCACTCTACAATATTTTTTTTTCATTATTTCGAATAATTTGATCAGTTTCTATATGCGAAATTATTGAAATATTACTTAAAATGATATATTAACATTTATTTTCCAAAATATTTTGATTACACTTATTCATTTTGTTCTAAAGCTCTTTATTCTTAGTCACAAACGCACTCTTTGATGTAAAATTTATTTATTTGTAACAGTTTTAACAAAAACGTAAAAGTAGATGTACTTAAACTTATCCCAAAATTGGTTCAAAATTACAAACCGATCAAAATATTTTTTTAACATTTTAATACAAAACAGTATTCTTCGACATTTTTAGTAATAAATATCTAATTTGAGCTAAACCGAGGTAAGAACTATGATGGTATAATGATTTTTTGGTTCTTGGTCAAGCAATTACTGCGTTACCTAATTTGATTTGTCTATCTAATTATAAAAAAATCCCATTTGATTGACTTTTTGTGGGCATATTTTAGTATATATTTCTTTCTTAGGTTGAAAATAATAGTAATACTGGTAGGGCTTGAGAAAAGATCGTTTTTCTAACCGCGAAATGATCATTAAATGCAGTGTTATTGAAACTCCTCTGTTCAAGCTGCATATTCCGTGATAACTTACCAGGTTGTTTAATAACTATTTTAGCCTGTTTCGCTGTGTGGGCGCGATCCAAGCCGAATATAGACAAATAGTGAAAAATAGAAGTGTCAGAATAGGAGAAAAAATCAAAGCATTACAAGGTGCAATTCACTTGTGTGATGATCGTTCTAATAGAGAAGAAGCTGACATAGTTTTCCTTTATTTAATATCATAACATCGTAAATAAATATAGACATAGTATTAATAAATAAATATACTATATTGTTAGATGCATTTTAATTATGAAAGTAACCAACAGTATATACAAAATTAATAATTATTGTTCTATTAGATTCACAAAATAATATACGTATTGCTAATTAGATCCATTATGTGGGCTTGAATTTAGAAACTTTAACATATATTTTACTCCTATATAATATATAGAATATTCTATTATTATTGTGTAAATGCAGAATATGCATTCATTTCAATACATTTCAATTATGTAAATCTGTTATTAAAAATTCAGTTCGCTAAATAAACTAAATTTAAACTAATTTCTCTGTATATTTACACAAAAACATTATACTTCATATATCAATCAGGGTTGATATACTAGAGGTAAAATTGGTAAAATTTGGACTGCCATAATGTAACATTAACTTAGCAGGGCAAGTTCTGCTATTTTACTAAAATGTAATAGTAGATATCCTTAAATGATATTGTTTTCAGATTTATCTTTGATTTTCTTATAATAAAATCTTCGTCAAAGAAAGAAACTAAGTTCGTTGACATATTCAATATGTTAATTAATATAACATGTTATAACATATTTACATTATAACATATGTATTCAATTAGTCCCAGGATTGTTTTTGCAAAATATTTTCTTTACTTTTTTTATTATTGACATTTTGGAAAAATACATTCTTTATAAAAAAAATTGCTTGTTTAAAAGTGGCTAATCCCATTTATATTTTTCCATACCGTTTTAGAAAAAAATCAAAAAAACAAAAGAAATGATTGAATTTCTAAGTCCGAGTTTTTTTTTACTTTGAACCTTTGGATTTTTACTTTACTAAAAGTAAAAATCAAAAGGCGTATATATATAAGTATTTCACATTTTTGCGGTTGTTAAAATATCACGTTTTTCGATACCTATTATCCCACTTTCAGTAGCATTGAACTAAAACGATTTTCTGCTTCTTTAACATTTTAAAACAGCAAAAAATATGACGTTAATTAAAATACTATCAAGAATTATTTTAGAACTAAGAAAAAATTCAACCATATTTTCATATTCTTTTTAAGTTTTCTGTAAAATGGTATGGAATTCTCGAAATTTTTTTCTCAAAATATCAATGATAAAAATGTGTGTCCTCTTGTAAAGCCAATCCGGGGACATACTGTATGTATAGTAAAAAAATCAGAGAGAAAAAAATCATGATCCTAATAAATTGACTTTGAATTTTTAAGATTTATTAAGCAGAAATCGAGAAGAAACTAAAGCCAGTCCAACGAGAGATTCCATGTCAATGACAGTTATTGTCTGGCATCTTAATTCACAAGTAAACTGTATTTTTTATCACCTTTCTGATGTTTGTCAAAATATTCCCTGACTCGTTGGACAGACTTTAGTTTTGAAGTTGAATGATACAGCTGTAACTAATGTAATATTTATTCTAACTCCGAAGAGATTATATTAATCTGAACAGAAGACGTAAAAGATTCTTATCTGTATTACAGTATAGTGCTTGGTATTCATTTTTAACGTAAAGAATAATTATTGTCATCTTAATTGAATTCAGTACGACATGATATAGAAAATGCGACTCATATCTTAATAAGTAATGAAAAAATGTTATACGAATTATCTTATTATCTTTATAATATTATCTTATTAATAATAAGATTTCTATAATAAGTTACTATAGAAACAAGAATTTATAGTTTTTATGATTCATGCCAGCTTCTAATCTATCTTACGTCATGAATTGATCGAGGGGAGTGAAAATTCTGTGCCGTAGAGTTATGCAGTGCTCTTATAATAAATAAATTTGGAATGAGACAAGATGCTACTTGGGTATTTTACAATAACACAGAAACAGACAAGATACAAGAATTTTAAAAAGGAGAAATCGTTCGAACAGTAAAATAAGTTTTGGGATGTAAAATACTAGATTATTGCAGCGTTAGGTTACAAAAATAAGTCAATATAACTATATTATTATTATTCCAAAATTTTCAAAGTGTTGGAAGTGGCTTGAACATTTTGTAACCTACTAGCATCATTTCTTTTTATATTTGGCAATATTGTTTATTTTCAAGCAAGTAACCCAATGCTAAAGGGAATATCAAGACCAATTGTGAAGAAGAACTAAACTAAATTATAATATTTATTTGCATAACCAAGGATAATTTTAGAACAGAATGTTTGAAAATGTTTTTTTAATTAACTGACACAATCGTATGCTAATTAAATGCGCTTCATAATGTTCGTGACTAAAAATAAATATAGCAAATTATGGGTAAAAGGATCTTGATTAAATATTTCTATTTTAAATAATATATTAAATTTGCTATCATGTTAAAATTTAGGCTATTATTAATAAAAAGTAATACGAGATAATAATGTCGAAATTGGTAATATGTTAATACTGATTTACTTTGTTTATTTAATTTTCGACAATCATGCAAACTAATTATTTCTAAATATGTTGTAGTAATTAATAATCCCATGTATTGTATAGCATGTTTAAATCATCTTATATTAAACAAAAAAATCGTCATATTTAAAAAAAAACTTTGTTTCATCAAATAAAACATTTACACGTACAAAAATATCACTCAGACCAAATATAATGTTCTATTTCAATATAAAAATTTAATTTAGTTTATTTGAATTATTTATGTATTAACTAACACTATCAAAAACTTTTATAATCGAGCCGAGTTTGGCCAAAAAAAATGGCCATACATTTTTGGACTATGTATATTTGAACTTTAAATAAAGTTTATACAGTGTGTTTCAAACAACATATATATTACTATCAAAACCTAATTAATGCATTTGCATTATTGTAAGGTAAAAAATAAAATTTAGTATAGTACGTATTGCTATTGTAAGTTAATAAGCATAATTTTCTAATTTACTAAGCTGATCCCTGAAACTTGTAAATAATAATAAATATAATTAGTTTATTTCTTTTTTAATATGTAATAGAAATAATAAACTTTAATGCCAACAGAAACTTAAGTATGAAATATGAAGTATACTATAATCTTTTTCTTTATATTATGACCAAATCGGAAGTGGTTTAAAAAATACTGTATACAGGGTGTACTAAATATTGTATACAGGGTGCTACAAATTCGAGGTACGAGCATTGCTATCTCGGTAAGCGTAGTAGATACGAGCATGGTTAAATTGGGGCAAAGTTGCTCTTTGGGATGTTCAGCAAGATGCCATAAAAAATGTTTTAAAAATTTCAAGGATTGCTGAGTTTTTTGGAAAAAACGTTTTATTTTGAAAATCAATTTTATTTTCTCCTGTCGTTACTTTTTAAAAAATCAAAAAACTAATTGCTCATTCTCATAGCCACTTAATTAGGGCTTTTTGATAGAATTTTTAGATTTTCAAATTTGTGAGATACATAGGCCAACTTAAGTTTTTTAAATACGGACCTGCATTTTTTATTTAAGGTTTTGAAAGAACTCGGTCTCCCGAGTACAATGATATGCCACACTTTATACTTTTTTTGTTTCGGGCATTTGAACACAATTTATTGAAATTAATTTCAAGTCTGGCTCTGTTTTTTTAATATTTAATCTATTCATCGTTATAGTACTAATAAGCCTTCAAACTCAACAACGACGTGTGGTATAAAAATAAATAATATAAATATAATATAAAATAAACAATCAAATCATTTCCCCGGAAGATGGATTGGAAATGGTAGAGGGCAGAGCAGTGTACAGGCCAGTGAGGTTCCTGGACCTGTGGCCAAGAGGAGGGGGGGAGCATTACTTTACGTCATTGTAAAAGTGAAATCAATGTTTTTAAACATATTTAAAATGCATTCGGAAGTATAAGAAGATATATTCAAATTCAATGTAGAGCATTAAAAACTAGTTTAAGTTGATTTATTTATAATAACTACCATTAATATTATGAATATTATTAGATGGTACACTGAGATTTTAAATTCACAATAAAAAAGTTAAAAATAATATGTTTAAATTGCTGACTTGGATATTATTTATTTAAATCTTTCAATTGGCTCGATTTTCCTCATTCAATGTTAACTAGCGTTGATTAATATTGTTGCGATGAATATAATCACATTAAATACTTTAAAAAACCAGAGTCGGACTTGAAATTATTTTAAATAATAATTAAATATTTTGTTGTTAAGGTATCCAAAACAAAAAAAAAGTACAAAGTGTGGCATATCATTGTACTCAGAAAAACGAGTTCTTTCAAAACTTGAAATGAAAAATACAGGTTCGTATTTAAGAAAATTAAGTCGGCCTCTGTATCTCACAAACTATCAGCTAATTTGAAAATCTAAAAATACTATCAGATATCCCTAACAAAGTGGCTATGAGAATGTATAATTAGTTTTTTGATTTTGTAAAAAGTAACGGTAGGAAAAATAAAATTGGTTTTCAAAAAAATTCGTTTTTTTCCAAAAAAATCAGCAATCCTTGAAATTTTTGATACTTTTTTGATGGTATCTTGATATCCCAAGACGCAACTTTGCCCCAATTTAACTATCTTCGTATCTATTACGGTTTCCGAGATACCAATGCTCGTACCTCGAATTTGTAGCACCCTATATACAGTATCATGAAATTGTTTGTCTAACATTTGTATATTTTATTTTTATTATATTATATTAATTATTTTATAATATTATATTAAAATTTAATTTAATACTTACATGATTCTTGCTGTTTGTATCTAAACTTAGTAATATTTTTTACTAAATAATTTGGCATTAGGTTAGGAGTGTTAGGTATTAATTAATTTAGGTAGTATAAATTTCTTTTTTAAACAAAATGTTAACTTTTGTGCTTTAAATAGATCGGTGATCTCCAATAAAAAAATATATCTAAAAAAACAAAAGGATAATGATTTATTTATTAAGGCTAATAAAATGTTTATAAAACATATATAAATTATCCTTATTATTATTTATATATTGCTAAGCCTAAAACTTTTTAATTTTGCAAGTAGTAATACATATTAACAAGAATGTCATACGCTATTAAATGTCAAAGTTGTTGGTATGTACTTGCACGAGTGCACACCTCTTAAATAAACCTGCCCTTATTGGCATAAATAAAAAAATATTATACAAACTTTTGTTTCAATAAATATACCCTACATATTTTTATCAAAATATCTTTGAAATCATAAAAGTCTCATACTCTGCTAATATATTAAGTGTTTCATTAAAAAAATATAGTGCATACCAACAACTGTGACATTTGACTGCGTATGATATTTTTCGTAATACCTAATAAAACTTGCTTAAAATCTCTAAGTTATTATATAAACTTTCTGTGTCCAAAATTTGATCGCACGAACACTATGAATCACAAATTTATAAACGGTTATCATAGAAACAAAAACTGTATTTGAAACAAAAAAAGTAAATTTATAAGCGAATATTCTTCAGAAATGCTATAAATAATAAGAATTTTGTCGCTCTTTATAAACAATAAACAAATCAAAACATAACATTAGTAACTCGATACAACAAATTAATTTGGCATTATGGGACAAAATAAAAGAATGACGGAAAATAATAGTACAGAAGCGTAGGTAGTCTTTCTGATTCAAAAGATTATACATTTTTTTCATAGATAGATCTTGGAGCTACCGTACGTTTCTTAACTACGAAATATAAGGTAATAAAACTATACAGGCAATCTAGACTACTGTAATCAAAGCAGCGCATAATGATTTCGATATAATGGGTAAACGGATCCTTACCATCTATGTATTCCAAGTAGCATTGAGAAAAGCAACAGAGAAACAAATAAGGTTTTTTCAGATCGTAGATTTTATTGAGAAAATAAAGCGTGTGATTTCAAGGAATTTCGATGTCAGAGGTGGAATGTGTCAATTAATGAATTTTCAAAAAACAGAATGTCTTCTGATTTTTTTCGTGTGTGTATAAAGTAATAATGATTATATATGACATTAATTCAAGTTTTTTGTCACAACATTTTGTCCTTGCATTTAAAAAATAAGTTATCATACAAAAATTCAAAAATAACGCGACAAAATGATGTTCCTTAGAGGTAGTTGCTTTTAAAATTAATGTTCAGTCGTTACTTCCATTAAGTCTTTTATTATCCATCCTCTGGTTACAACACAAAGCAATATATTCATTGTCAGTATTCTCATGACACTTAACCAGAGAATGAATACGTCATATTCGTGTTATTTACTAAAATATACCATAAAAATGTTAAATTAAAACTCAGGCTCAAAAATTTAAAGGAAGCATTTGTATAAATATCCTCTGGGTAGTGTCTTGTTAAATTTCTCTAGATATTACAACATTGAAAAAAAAAATACGAAAAACACTAGCTGGAAGATAATCTACGGCATTTATTAGTTAATGTCAAAGAAATCGAATATGGATCTTCCAACTTGTAAATAGTTGCAGTGCAATCTCAGTCTGTTAGTTAACAAGAACTCACCAAAAGATGGATATAATAATTGACCTTAGATTACGAAAAATGGGATCAACTTACGTTCTTTAATGGCTGAAATAAAATGTGAGTTTATTTTGGTTTATGGAGGTTTGTTAATATGCAACTACCTCGATATTTTAGAGAAGTAGAATAAAGTAGTTTAGTGACAGCTGGTTAAAATGTGTATATATGGTATTACAATACCAAAAAGAATTGCCAAAAAGATTTGATCATATAAATTCAAAAATGTTTGATATATTTTGTCTTTCAACGGAATTAAAAAAAATATTATTATTTTTGATATATTATTATAATTTTCCTTTTTTCTCTTATTATATTGCAGATTATTAATGAAAAACTGTAATTTATTATTATTTATAATCTGATTCCAGTTATCACTAAACTAAATATTCTTTTAAGAAGAATCGAACAATAGAACTAGCTTCTAGAAGTATAATTAATTTAATATTAGTACATTCACGAAACTCACGTTATTATTTAAGAAGTAATTGATTTTAGATAAATTATAAGAAAGACACACACAAGAAAATTTCAAAATTATATAAAGTTATATCATCTATTATCTGGAACTATCTAAGAATATTTTTAGTTGCTTGAATTGTTTTGGAATATTTAAAGAGTCTAACATTGAATAAAAACTAAGGAAGACGTCAATTATTATATTTACTTATGTTTTTTTTTGTTTTGTTTGATTTTTCTATTGACTTTTATCTAATTGTTTTTTTATTTCTTCTTTATTTTAAAACTGGTTTTATGCAAAGTCTATAAATCCGTAAAGATATTGTGTCCGCTCTTGAACTATAGTGATATCATTGTGAATATTAAGGTTCACTCAGGAATCTTATTTGCCCGATAATTTCCAGATTGTAATTTTATTTTATCTCAAAACATTATAAATATTTTTTATTACAAAATATGAAAAAGAATGGAATTTTTCACTATTAAGTAATTAAGTAATATATGTTACCAGTAGAAAGCCAATCAATAATAAAATTCGTTTAGGTTTTAAAGTTAACTTATGTTTTTATTCTTTTATTTTTAAACTTTTTACTACTCGTTAAAAATAATGAGAACAGGTCAATAGTATGAATTGTAGCATCTCTTTGTTACTAAATAATTACATTAATTTACCTATTTTTACTAAAAATATATGTTTTAATCAATTTTAATAATTGTTACGATTTATTGACTTAGTATAAAACAAAAGCGGGAAATTGTTGAAACACTTGATACAACATGTATACTACAACCATAATAAAGGAAATAAAGCTCGCTGTTATTTTGTATGTAAAATTATATGAAAAATGTCCTCGACATCGTCATTTCCAATATACCTGGACTCCCTTTTTTCGATCATACGGAATTTAAAAACACTAAAAATATACTAAATTTCCTTTCATTTTTTTGTAAATGTTCAAAATGAAATTCTGTACTGCAGTTTTTTAATCGTTTGAGCGTTTCACAATAATTATTTTGATTAGTGGACCTAGTGGTCAGAGGTTTAATTAATTAATTAGATAAGTACAGGGTGTCCACTTTTCGTGCGTTTTACAGAATTTTTCTTTTATGATTAGAGATACAAAGATGCGCGTTTCACATCACTGCACTGTACCTACTACTTTTTATGAAATTAAAGATGATACACACAAATTTGTTCTAGCTTTCTTGGTTTCTTAAATGCAGGGCGAATTTGAAAATTTTGCATTTTCCGAGCAAAAATTCTACAGACAGAAATTGGCGTGGAATAGCAGCATTTCTTTATCTTATTTATGAAACTAATATACAGGTTATTCCATTAAAAAAATATATTACATAAATTTGGGTCATATTTCAAGAATGACAGCTCCCAGCGAAAATCTAGTTAAGCCACTGGGTTTTACGCGAAAAACTCTATGGAATCCAATTTTCATCTTTCGATAAGTAAAAAGATAACGATAACAAATATAATAAATAATAACCAATAATAATACCAATAACTATAATAATCAACCAATGCGGCTAGGGCAAACCTATGTGTAGCATCTTTAGTTTCATAAGAAGGTAGTTCAGTGATGTGAAAACCGCATCTTTGTATCTCTACTCATAAACCAGAAACACCATAAAACATAAGAAAATGGTACAATAAGATGTACTGTACAAAAAGAGAAAAGCAAGTATTTTAGACCCTGTACTTTTTTGGATTTGGTCAAATCTAGAGAAGAGTCATGATAGTAAAACACTCTGTTAGTTCTACTCATTACCGATAGTCTTACAGAAGCTACTTCTAGTATTCGACGGTGATATATCCATCGATAAGGTGTGATTATTGAGCGTGAACACTCACCTTCTTCGAGGGCATCGTCTCCGTCAGAAACCAGCTCGTCGTCCGAGCAGATGTTGAGCACGTTGACGAGCATCTCGGTAACCTTCTCGCCGACGAAGGGCAACGACCACGTGAACACGTCCATGAAGTTGGGCAGCCAGTACGGGTGCTGCGAGTAGTTGAATTGGCGAATGTTCATCACATTGTTTTCGTATTTTAATACCGCTGCCTAAAACAGAATAGTGGTAGTAGTAAGTTAGAATTGAAAGGCGGCGTCAACATCTGGGCTATTTGGCGTCTGTTTTCGTCATTTTTTTATATACTTAAATATATGTTTACGTGTTTAAGATATTTTATTATGTTCTATGTTGAGATGGCCCGCCTATTTAAAAATATATAAAAACTGTGTATACATAAACAATTATTGATTTTTAAAATATTATTCTCAACCTAGGGAGAGGGCAATCAGACGATGAACAAAGATATGTTGTTAGGTTTAGGACTACCGTTCGAGACGCGCCGCGCACTGATGTTTTTTTGGTTTGTAGTTTTGTGACAAAGAATGCTACTAAACGTAAATGTGTCCTTATTTACCTAGTGTTACTAAAGCATATTATTTTGTTTTCCTGTTGTAATGTTCTATTCTAAAGCTTTTCCTTATTTATTTGATCTGACAAAGATAATATCTAACATGTGTATGTATTTAATAGATTCCATTTATGCTGTGAATAATTTCAGTTTAAAAGTAATCTAAATACAATCGTTTCCTGTCCATTCGTACCGATGTTTTTGGTTCAGTGTCACTAACATTTTTCGACTGTCATTAGGCGAATATCTTAGCTCACAAAAGAGCAAATAAAAACAGTAAATAGAATAAATCATAGAATAACTCATAATCTAAAGACATTTGCACCGAACCTTCAACTTTAGGTTCGAGACTCGTAACAAGAGACTTTAGTATCTGCGGGTAGGGACCTGCTAAACTAACAGAAACTCTTCAGTTTTAACTGTAATAAATGTGACATGTTTTGAATATATGGAACTACAAACCTTGGTATGAGGACATTTTCTGTATTATTATTATTTCTCTTTTATTAAAGTTCAGAACAGCATAGTTGAATTCTTTGGAATAGTGATCAAGGTTTTCTCTATTCTTTTACTTGTGAATTCCAGGCAGAGTACGGCACTCCTTTCATTTCATTTATTAAAATAAGTAGGGCTACTTACAAATTTAGCGTATTTGACAAAATTCACACAAAGGAGGAGATTCATTCTTAAGGATGAAGGAATGTGTAAAATAGTGCGCCGGTCTTTTAAATATCATATTTTTTTACGAGATATTGATGAAAAATTATAAATTGAGATAAAAGATTGGTTTGACCTAATCAAGTTTGTTTGATTCAGATTGTCCCATTCCAACTGAGTTTGATTTTTTATAATGAAGGGAACAGTATTGTTCATATCTGTATATGAACTTCATTTTGTAATAGAAAAGCCATCACAGGCAGCCTGTTTAGTAGTGTTTAGCTAAATTTTAACATGTTTGTTTCCTTTTATACCTTTATGGCTTTGGCCCAGAGGAAAGATTGAATTGCCTACTCGAAAACATTTATCTTAATAAAAAATATTAGGTTATAAGACGACCAAAACCTAAAATATAAAAGTTGGTTTGCTTTTAAGCTGCAACATTTACTACATTGTTTGTTTTTCAAAGTACATCCCACCAGCTTGGACTTTTAAGAGTCATTTGCAGACTTTTTACATATTACTTCAAAGTGGCTTCACACTTTTTACACTGACTTCATAGGAAGTCGACAGGTGGTGAAGATGAATATTGGCGTGGCTTTCTGCTCTACAAAAGACTGTATATTATGATTTATTTCTTATATGCCAAATCTATTTATGAAACCGATTTAATACAGAGAATATTGCTGGATGTATAACTTTAACATCTATATTTACTTAGAATTTTGATTTTGTTTTTTGTATCATAAAGCAAGTCAGTTAATTATTAATTTTGATGAAGAGGCGATTATTGACTAAGTTATAATTTTTAGACTTAGAACCATTTTAATTTAGTTGTGATGTGATAAAAATGTGTATAAAAATACAAATTCATAAATGTTTGTAGTAACACACTTTTGTACTTCGCATCAAATGTTACTGCCACCTAACAGTAATTTTTGTTTAGTTGTTTGGAAAGAGTTTAGAAGATTTTTTTTCCACTCGATAGCGAATAGAAATCCTTTCCTTTATTGAAAGAAAAAATATGAGTTTCCATTTCAAAAAAGTGAATTATGATACCTTTTTGATCTCAATTCAAAGATGGCTACAGCTAATAACATACCAATTTTTCGAAATTATATTTTTCCATTGATAGCCTCATATCGTGTCGTTAATATATAGTGTTTAAATCGCTCACTAACTTTGAAGTTTAGACTATATAATATTGCTTTTTTTCATAGATAATTTTTAGCTTTAAAAATTATAAATAAATATTTTCTCAAAATTAGTAGTTGATGTATTTGGTATCAAAATTCATCAAATTCTACACAGAATTTAAATTTATTAAATAAATTTAGGTAATTATTTAAATTAAGAAAGATTCTGGTACTAGTATTCGACAGGGATCGCCATTATATAAAAAAAATAGACAGGATAGGTGTCATTGTAAAACATTTATGCTTTCTAGAAACTTATAATACAAGCCCAACCAAGGACATCCTGTATAGTATGCAAATATAATTAATATTTCTGTATATTCTGTATATTTTGTATATTCTGTATACTTATTTAGAAATAGAAAATTATAATCAAAACATTAATAACTTTTTTTTATTAAAACATGTTAATCACAAAAACACATATTATGATAAAACTCAATATTCTAATTTCAGTCTTTTTGGCGGTCCTGGTTGTGACATACGCATTTAAACAAAACAAAGTTAGAATATATTAATAAGTTGTATTTATTGCAGTTTGTTAGTAATTTGCAATTATATTATTTTGATGACACAAAATAGTTTATTACCTCTAAAACGGTTTATATTTTTTTATACTTATAAAGGATGATTTAATAATATGTTAAAATATAATAACATAGAACCATATAAATTCAGTAATATTCGGTTTTATTAGCGTAGGTTTAAATAGTAACGAAGTTCAAAATAATAATATAAATCAAAGGCAGCGTTAAAACAAATATCAAAAGATCGAAAACAAACGGCGGCGGCGCGGCGTGAGGGTTGCCATAAAAATGACTATCGCTGTAATTTTATATATAAAATTATATGGCGAATGCCATCGATCGTCATTTTCAAGGAAACATGACGCCGTTTTTATCCATCATACGGAAAAATTATAAGAAAAACATAATTTTGGTTAATATTCCCTATACGTTTAAAATATAGGGAATATTGCAGAGTTTCTTCTCAGAACATCTTCACTAAAACAAACATCTTGTGGCCAACTGTTCTTTAATTTCATATCTTACATTTTTTAACGCGGTTAGTAGCAGAAGATTAAATATACACTTTTATAAAAGTTACCAAATATGTATGAATAATTAAAACTAATAGATATAATCGATACCAAATAAACTTTTATTTACGTCATCGAGGGCACGATTATTAAATTAATTGTTGCCAACCATGGACGTATTCGGCACCAGGCTGACTAACTGGGATTTAAATTTCCCGCTGGCAGTTCAGACGGTAGCTCTGCTGTAAAAAATGTCAAATTGTCCCATTTTTTAAATTATTTCCTGACATTTTGATTCGTTTTGACACTTTAGTTTTGTATTGCGTGTTTTTGGTTTAAGTGAATTGTTTAGAATTAATTTAACTTAATTTAATTTAGAATTGTTATTTTTAGAACCGCTTGTAGTGTGAGGTGTACAATATGCCGAAGAAGCTGAACAGCTGTTGCAAAAAACTCATTGCAATCGTATTAGAATATTTTGAACGGAAAAGCTGTAATAACGGCTCTTTATCTCTCTTAAGTGCTGCTATATCCCCTAAGTTAAGGAGATGAGTTGATAGAAATAATAACTGCTTATATATTTATAATTAATTCATTTTCTTTCCCAAAATATTTTGATTAAAAGAAAATATGTGAAAGTGGACAACGCTGTGCCGGTGACTAAAAGATACTTAATGATGTCACTAAAAGTTTATTTGGTATGATTTATAGATACAACTAAAAGAATCTGTGCCGAAAGACTTACCTTATTATTATATACGTCCAAATAATTTGGTGCTGAGAATATTGTTATTAATGAAGGAAAACCGGTAGTTTGACTTTTTCTATACATTCTATATCTGTAACAAAGGAAAAGTAAACATTAGTACATACTGCCTTGAAACATGTGATACTTTAATCTTTTTAAAACCCATAACTTTAGCAAGAATTTCAGTGAAGCGAATGATAAAAAATAAAAGCCTCAAGTTGGGTAGGAAATAACAGCCGATGAGATTTACCTACTACTATTTAACAACAGCGATCATCATTTCCTAGTCAACCTGGATCTATTTCCAGTCGTATGGTATATTTACTGTAAACAATCGAATAATAATAAATTTAAATAAAAATATGGTAATATTCACACACACACACAAATATGTTATTTTAACATATCATTAATTACAAATAGTAGTTTCTTGAGAATTTATATTTCAGTGTCTACACTGAGTCATAATCATAAAACAAAATTTTATTTCACAATAAAATATGATAATAAATAATCACTTTCTTGGCAAAATAAAACTCTAATTCGCCACATTATACCAAAAGACTTTATTTTGAATACTGGAGGCTGGTTTCACCAGCCATGAAACATATGCACGTCCCTGGTGAAACTGTCGTGTTTTTTAGCGTTAAAATATATAGCACTTTTACCTCAAAATTTCATTCGAATCGCTAAAAGTACTTGGAAGAAAATTAAAATAAATCGAAAAAAAAATGAACACCTAGCTACGAAACAAAGCAGAATCGGACATATGTTGACATGAAAAATAAATCTTATTTTTACGCAAGAAAAATTACGTAAAAATAAGATTTATTTTCGTATCCAAGGAGGCTAGAATAAATATGTGTATAGAAACTTTAGTTTCAAAGAAAAGTACAGAAAACCGCATCTTTGTATTTCTATCATACACGAGAAACCCAAACCCACACATGAAAATGGGACACCCTGTGCATGTATATAATTAAACACTCGTTTTCAGTAAAACTATTTCCTTTTATATTACATTTTCTCTAGCGTAACATATGCTTCACTTTCATAAATTAACCGGCTGTTTTTACGCCAGCCATATTATCTCGTCCCCATTCATGATTAATACTGCTTTTCATTATATTACGGCCTTTATTCAGCGCCCTGCATACATAATTATATCTTGAAGCCGTATCTGTTCGTATCCCCCGCTGCCGCCAAGCAAAGATAATAACTTGGTGCACTTTCCACTATTAAAGATGCATACTTAGTCTAAAAGCTCTAGGTAGATACCGAAGGCGAGAAACATGCCAAAAAGCAGCGAGTTATTTAAGCTTTTTAACGCTTTTCAAAAGAAATATAATAACTTTCATAACTGAAACAAAAACTGCCATGAAAGCTGAACATTGCTTGAAATAATTTAACATTTCAAATAAAAAGAAAATAAAAAAATGAAGTATAATAATTATCTTCATAATAGTTTAAATATGACTTGAATTTTATGTACCGTGTTAATATCTGTGAAATTTAATTAAAAAAGTTACAATATGATAGAAAAAAACGGTGCTACGGTGATCTTGGAAATAACGATTAATATATTATGTACTTATGTCCTATTAAAGTAAATATAATTATTTATTGTTACTTTTGTTTGAAAAAAAATATCAAGATGCAGTGTTCACTGACTTTTTAAGCTTTTATTACTCTTTATTATCAGCAGGGGCGCAACTAGACTCAGCTTTTTAGGGGGCTCAAGTATTTTGGGATGGCTTAGGTCACTATAAGATAATACTGATTTTAGGTTAAAACCAATTTTAAACGACGTCATCTGAGTGAAAATAATATCCAGTAGTTTCTCACAGCCTCTTTAGTTATAAATATTTTTTCGCGAGATACAGCCGAGATCTATTCTTAGTGGGACACCCTCTAGTGCATACATCTGTACAGGGCGTCCCACTAAGAATAGCTCTCGGCTGTATCTCGGAAAGTATTAGTCGTAGAGCTTCCGCAAAAAAAATATTTATAACTAAAGAGACTATGAGAAATTGCTGGAAATTATTTTCAAGTCTATAGAAACGGCCGCTAGAGGACTATATAAAATAAGAAAATGGGTTTTTACACAATTTTGCTTAGATAACTAGTACTATAAACTTGCTTCATTGCTTCATAATCTTCAGAAAATGTTGAATATTTTTGTTAGAACCATTTTTCCCCTATCTGCTAAAATAAAGTGGTGGAGGAAGGTTCGATCTGTTTTTATTGACTTATATAACTTCTTATATCTTATATTCTTAACTTCTTATATCTTATATGACTTCACTGAGGCGCCGTTTCTTATTCATTGTCATTGATATCTTAATTATTAGATATTAATACACCTAGTATTATGGTATTCTGGTATATTGTCGATTTTAGAATAAACTAATCGTTTCTATCTTATTTTTTATTAGAATGATCATAATCAAGAGGGCCACTGTAACCGTGTTATAAAAATAAGGTAATTAAGGGCTTATTTTTTAGTATTGTTACGTTTTTCGTCGGTTCCGTGTGGATAGAAAGTCACAATTTATTTAAACACTATTTATTTAACACTAATTAACAAAAATAATAACGATAAAAGACTTATAGAACTATTTACAAATGATTTATAACTAAGAATTTATTTTTAATTTTAGCGCGTCAACTGTATATTTATAACTGCCCTCTCTAGGCCACTGCCGCCGGCTTTTATACCGACAGGTAAAAGAAATCTAGAATAGTCCAAAGATCGTTAGGCGCATAGAGAAGGTTTTCGAATGTTCTCGTATGTACGAGTCCATTCTAGTGGGTCTCGATTCTTCTCGGACGAATGAATCATTGCGGTGTCTGTGCGATGTTAAGGTCATCCGAGGGCGGGCCATATTGTGAGGTTAGGTCGAGTCCACACCGGCTCGCAACAGTATTTATTATAATTTTGCTAATATCTTTGGTTTGTAAGAGGATATCAAGATGCGGTTTTCGCTGACTTTTTAAGCTTTTATTACTCTTTAGCATCAGCTACAATTGCATATACTATCGCATTTAAGTTTTTGAAAGAACGCGCCCCCAAGCGTCTACATTCAAAAAAGCTTATTATTATCGTTTATACGGTATAATATAGAGTAAGAAACGCTCTTTTAAACGAGCCCTAGCTTGTTGGATTCCATTTATCCAGTCCGAAGTTATTACACTTAAATAAAAACAGATCAAACTTTCCCCCACCATTTTATTTTGGTAGGTAGGGGAAAATGGTTCTAACAAAAAATATTCAAAATTTTCTGAAGATTATGAAGCTATTATTTATATTACCCATTATCTAGGCAAAATTTTGTAAAAATTCAATTTTCTTCATAGCCTCTTTAGTTATAAATATATACTACGATTAATACTTTCCGAGATACAGCCGAGCGCTATTCTTAGTGGGACACCCTGTACAATAAGCCCAACAATCAAATTTAAGTAGGTATCTTGGAATATTTAATAATCATTTGAAATAAAAAATTAAGACCACTTACTTATTGTTTCGCAAATATTTGCTGTATTATATTATAATTAGCCCTTTCAACAGTAAATTTTTATCAAAGCCACTTCATTATTTTCCATATATTTTTTTTATAGTTTGCCATATATTTTGCCTGTTTTTTGTACTACGTGTAACATTAAAAATTGCTTAAAACACCTATAATTTGTTTTTTAATGAGTATTCTAGTTAAAAAATAAAAAAAGTTAAAGAGAGTTAAATGTGGCTAAAAAACAAGCCAATTAACTAAACAGAGTTATAATTGGGGAATCGTCTTTAATTTTTTCCTATTGTTTATTCTTTGTTAGTTATGGTCCGGTAATTGGAGTTTTGAATGTTTTCAATCGAAAAAAAATATCTGACAGATGTGGCGAAAAAACTGAAAACCAATTTTGTTCCACCAATGTAGTTATTTTCTTTCTATTCCAATTTGGTTCGCTACGCGCAAAACTTGTTCGGCAGCAGAAAGCTGGTAAATTTGGACAGGTCAAACTCTATTGGGTCAACTGCCTGTAAATATACGTTCAACATGGCAAGATGTTTAAAAAACAGTCGTAGTTTACAGAGTAGTTAATAGTTACATTGTATAATACCGTATTATTGAAAAAACGGCGTCCAGTTGGCTTGGAATTCAATATCTATGACATTCCCCATATAATTTTACATATAAAATGACAGCGATCTTCATTTCATAGCGATCGCTGACGCCGTTTTTTTTCGATCATATCGTATAATAGACATGGTTATTAAGGTATAATAATTCAAAATTTTTGATTGCTGGATAAAGAAAATTAACAATAGAATCACATTATGATCGATTTCATTTTATGCAATTCGTAATTTATGTCAATAAATACACATAAACGCCTTAAAATTTTAATGTATTTTAAAGTTTAATATATTTTGTTCTAGTGGGCCGATTTTGATGATTTTTTAAGCATTTTGTAGCTAAATTATTTGGTTTTTTAATGACTCTTTCTAAATTAAAAATAAAGTTTTCTTCTGTCAATTAAACGAGGGAAGTTGATATTTTGGTGAAAGTTTTAAACACTGTGGAATATGTTAGCAATGCAGGGAATTTAAAAATCATTTTATCATCTAGGTATATCTTTTCTGGATAGTTTATTTTTTAATTTACCTCAATATCTTTATTTTTATTAGAGATATTCGGTTTTAAATAAGACAGTAAAAATCTACAGCAATTTTAGCATTGATTTTGGGTCCTTATCAACACACTTATAAAAATATTGATTACTGTTTTTGTGATGTCATTGAAAAGTTATATCATTATTGTTTATTGGCGTTTACTTTTGTAGAGAAAGTTTTAAGTACTGAAGTTTCGGCTATTGCTGTTTTAATTTTTCATGGTACAGATCAACTTTTGGACTTAAAACCATATCTACTAGAGAGTAACTGCCCAACAGACAATAATAATATGATTTTTCAAAGACAGTGACATTACATAAATCATAAACACTATTTTATAGGTCGGTTGACTAGGACCAAAAGCAAAGGCATGGTTTTAAAATAAAAAATACGAAAAAATGTTAGTATCGTCTTCAAAAGCG